TCCTAGACAAACTGATATTTCATCTTTAATGCTCCAGTATTTATCCCTAACAGCTAAGAACCATACCAAACAAAATGGACAGGAACTAATTTTGTCTTGTGATTGGCTCTGTTTTTCTAATTGTCAGAGGGTGATGAATGACTTCTTATAGTTAAATTAGGTTCCAAAGACATTTTACATCACATAGTTCATAGGCCTTCAGTCCCTCGATTTTTAGCAAGACTGTTTCCCTCCCCCATCCCCCACTTTGCCATTGAAAAGCAAAAATAAACCTTTTAATATCAGATTGCTACATTCCTATTTAGGTGGTTATATTCTTATAGCAGTGTTTACATTTCTCTTTTATCCTCCATCTTTCTTAGATCTGTAACCTGATTAGATTGAAGTTAAACTGGTAGGGGTGAGGAGTGTATTTCATAGAAAATGGAAAAATGTCCTATTTCACTAAAGCTGTTTTTTGCCCATTTTTCATGACTAGACAAGCAGACTAACTGGCATTCTATGAACTTTTATTGGCTAGGGTAGTTAATACGAAATGCTAAACCCTTCATTTAGATTTCATTTGTATAACTATCAGCTAATATTTTTTGAAGCACTTTCTTTAAATCAGGCATTGAGCCTTAAACTCACTCTCAACATGAGGTAAGTACTACTATTTTTGTTTTCCAAATACGGAAACAACAGATTTTAAGTCATTTAAGATTACACTGTATAGATTCCTACCATTCAACCTAACATTCTAAAGATTCCTGATGTAATGTAATTTTTCTTTTCCTTGTTTTGTGCTGTCTCATGATTAGGATGCAAAAGTAAGTTTGTTATTGGATAAAAAAATCTTACATTGTTTTCATCTATTAAAGTAACAGCATTGCTTTTTAATTACAAAATTGCTAGTAATAGCTAACATCTGACCTATATGGTCCTTTTTTATTTTTGTTGTATACAAAATTGGTCAGTTTGGAAAATTTTGAAATACCTCTTTTAGATTTGGCTGATTTGTCTTTGACATTTAAAAACAAGTATTCATTCTTACATCAAGACAAAAAAGCTTTTTGTTCCATAGTGTTTTTTCTGTATGTCACCTCCACCAGTGCCAGTGGTTGCCCAGGGGGGGTCTGGAAAGGTAGCTATTTCCAAAGCATTGCAGTGGACACTTGAGGAAAAATTATACAAGGCAGACATTTCTCTCAGTAACATGTGACAAAACTGAGCATTGAAAGTATTAGAAAACGCATTAAGAACTTGAGGGGAAGGAGCTTTTTATTTGGAAGACATTTTGAATTTTAATATTTTAGATATTATTTTTCTATATTTAATTTCATACATTGCTGCTAGTTAGTTTACAATGGGCCTGATTGCTTTTTGTGTTATAGCAATTATGCCCAACACATTAGTCAACAATAGGTATTTAGTAAAACATTTAGGCACCAATCTGAAAACTATTGGCTGTCACTAGTAGATTGTTCCTGTGACCCTGAATTTCCTTCTTTAATCTCTAAAATGAGCATGCCCTTCATGTGAGCTTTTTACAGTCTCAAGACTCTCTGTATCTGCTTACCAGAGTCTCACATTTTCCTTCCACAGGAAGCCGAAACCCCACGTAGTGTTCTTGAAGAAATTGGACTGACATAACTGTCCTCCCTTGCTGATGACTTCTTGTGGCATTTCACACTGTAGATGGTCACTGCCTCTCATGTCCATGTTAGCTAACGGTGTAAGATGATGTCTTGTCAGTATTACTGTTTTGCTAAGCTGCTTCATTCAGGCCTACCTAATTTTTTTTAAAGGGAACTCTGGTTAATCAAATGATAAATTAAGGGACATAAATATGAATTAGGAAGATATAGAAAAAGTAACATACCATTTCTGGACATTTTAAAGTTTAAAGGTCAGTCTCATAATTATGTGCATATATAAAAATGTCTATATACATGAATATCCAACAATTTGGCAAAATACATTTACTATTGTACTTAAAAAAGGAAACTTAAATTATGTGAAACCTGGTTTAATGAAACCAAAGACGAGAGTAGCATTTTAGTACATATAAGAATAAAGGTAATTGACACATCACAGATCAAATGAAGTTTATTGAAAATTTAAGCAACAAAATTTATGCCAAAGACCCATACTGGATACAACATATACATTAAAACAAAGGGAATATAGATGCTTTTAGAGGACTAACTTAGAATGATGCTGTTTTATACTAAAACTCAGTAATTATTCTGAATGAATGGAACAAGGAACAAAGACTTTCCTAATCTTGAGCACATAATTCTTAAGGCCAAATAACATTTGACTCCCTGAGGTGAAGTTTTAGTGGTCATAATCATGTAGTTAGTTTTCGATGCCCCCAAATAAAATATAGCGGTTAACTACCAGGTATTCTTCATAACAGTATGTTGCTCTCTTCACAAAGTATTACATAAAGTCATTAGCTAAAGCATGAATGTTCCTTCTGGGGTGCTTGTTAAAGCCAAATTTATTTTGCTTCACGATTGCTTCCTTCCAGTTAGAAGCACTATAGACTTGACAGCAGCTCCCTATCCTTTCATGTCACTGCCTAGTCATCAGAAGTCTTATGACAGCTTAAAAGTTACCTTTCATATAGCAAAGTGAGAGTTGACTGAAGTGAAGTGGCATTGGTTGGCCCTTTATTTTTTGAAGCTGTATAAATATGTGGCACCACTTTTATACATCCTGACACATACCTGAGCACTTCTCCCTGATTTCTATGTTCCCTTGTAATATGCTAGGCTGGAGTAAGCTTTGCTGTGATTGTGAACAACTTTCAAGCTACATGAACACTGTCTTATCATATCACAAATTAATGGTAATAAATGTTCTGCAAACACTGTGGTGTGCTTTTATCTCTTTCCAAAAGTTTTGTTGAACTAGGGAGAGCTGCTAAAGGAAGGGTTCTTTTTTTTCCAATACAATGTTGACAATTCCTCTCCATCTGACATCCAACCCCTGCATTGAAATGTGATGGTGGTTGCAAGCACACACAAAAACGGCAGAAGGGTCAAGAAATGTTCATGTCCTTCAACTCAGTAAAAAAATCACATGGATTCTATGCTATCAAGGACTTACAACACATTTTCAATTAATAAATTCCGCTTTTAAAACCATGATGCAGTTGACTTTTATACGATTTCTGATTTAGCAACTCAATTACTCCAGATAGTCAAAGGATATCCAAATGACAAATCCTCACCTCCTACGTATGAGAAAGTTACTAGTACATGCAACAGAAACAGATTAATATTTGCTGACTGTGTTGCCTAATGTAAGCAACAAATCAAAACTTCTAGTTACAGTATGGTTATGGGGCCTTCTGCTGATGCAAATAGGAATTATTGTATTCTATACCTAAGATATTTAAGAACAAAGAAAGGATTCTCATCAAATTTTGAAAGAGACATTTGTAGGTTTAAAGGGCCTTTGTGAATACAGCTGTTCACTATCAAGCAGATTTGAGTCATAAGTATTAATCAGGTTTATCACAGACACATGAAGGTACCCATTCATTATGGTAAATGTAAGCTGTATGTTACTATCAGGGTAATGACCCAATCAGATTTTCTAAACTTCCCTCTATACAGGCCCATTATCATTTGAGGGCAAAGTCCTCATTTGCTTAATTGTCTTGAGCTCAAGAAGATGGATTTCCTTTCCCATCATGATCTAAGAATTCTCAGCTTTAGGACTCATTACGTACCTCAGTGGTAGTGCCCTTGCCTACCATGTTTGAGGCTCCAGCATCACACATACAAAATTATCTTTACATATTTTTAGCTGCAGTTTGAACAGTATTTTAAAAATACCAAAGGTACTTAAAGCCATACAGTATTAATAAACCCAGTAAATCTAGAAATCTATCATTTGGGGGATGAAGCAGGCATTTAGAGTTGAAACAAGTTCAATTTTTGTTAAACTTTGAAAACTTTGTACCTATTTTTTTTCTTTTTAAAAAACAAGGTAGGGTCTCACCCTAGCCCTAGCTGCCATCAGCCTCCCAAGTGCAGGGAGTACTGGTATAAGCTACTGCACATGACTTGTATGCATCTTTAGTGAATTCTCAAATGTCAGATTGCTAAATGCCATTTCGAGGCCCAAACTGACAGTGAAGGTCTAAGAAGACAGCATCTTGAAAATCTGGGATAATGCACACAAGTCTACATTTACTTGTCTTCACTGACCACTCTTGTGAGTATTACACAAGAACTGCGTTTAACAGTGGATGTATTCAACGGTGACAACTCTAATTTTCTGGGTAATGACAAAATCCTTTACCTTCTTTATAAAAAACTTGTTTACAAAACACACTATTCAAGATATACCCTAACAAGCTCCCAGGTGAGTGAGGAACTCTAGAGCCAGGGAAAGAGAAGTATGGAAATGAGTACTTCAACACTTTGAAACAAAACATATGTTTTAGAGAAAAGAATCAACTTTTATGTATATAAAAAAACAGAGTATTTTAAAAGAGAATAATGGCTAGTAAGTAGAAAAAATAGTGATAATAAAAGCAAGCACTTCTATATCTAAAACCTGACACACTAGCAAAGATCAAAAATAATTCTGTGCTGTGGGAGCTGCAAGGTTAGAGTGATTATTTTTTGTAGTCTTCCTGGAAGGAAATTTGGATTACCTTTCTTGATATAGTTTATTCTAAGAAATCATTAAGGAAATCTAAGAGGGTCACCTTTAAAATCCAACAATGGGAGTGTTGTCAAATCCATTGGTAGATGCACTCTATGTAGTGAGTAAAAATAAGAATTATGGGACTTAAGAATCAGATTGATGAAACAATTGAGTGAAAAACATCAAAGCCATATACGACCTTTGAATTAAAAAATAAAGTGTGTCAGGCTGGAAAGATGGCTCAGTGGTTAAGGACACTTCTAGAGGATCTGGGTTCAATTCTCAGGACCCACATGACAGCTCACAACCATCTGTAACTCTGGTCCAGAGGATCTGACATACTCATCTGGCCTCCATGGGCACTAGGCTCACAAGTGGTACACTTACATGCAGGCAAAACACCCATATGCATAAAGCAAAAACAAAGGGTGTGGACCCCTAACAAGAAAAAAGGTGGGCTGAGAAGATGGCTCACTGAGTAAAGGTCCTTGGTGTAAAAGTTTCATGACCTCAGTTCAATCACTGAATCTCATTGTGTAACTGACCCCTAAAAGTTGTCCTCTGACGACACTTGTGGTACACTTATACAGAGAGAGAGAGAGAGAGAGAGAGAGAGAGAGAGAGGGAGGGAGGGAGGGAGGGAGGGAGGGAGGGAGGGAGGGGGAGAAAAGTAGAGACGGGAGCAGGCATGCAGGCAGAAAGCGGAAAAAAAAATACTAAAGCATCACTCCAGCATTAACGATGCTCTCAAGGTTAGGGTTACAAGTAATTTTATGTGTGTGTGTATAATTTATCAAAAAGTATGATTTACATGATAGCATTTGGCTAGCATCATCATCTATACAGGTGAGTAGCTGCCATAAAGACAGAGATATTAAAAAACAACCAAGTTTATTTAGATTTGGGACTCTAGGTGGTTTTGTCTACTACCTGACCTCTTCCTGCCACGACTTCTGGACCTTGATGAGCTCCGGCTATGGCTGGGGCTCCAACTCCTGCTCCGGTTCCGGCCCCGGTTCCGGTTCCGGTTCCGGCCCCGGCCCCGGTCCCGGCCCCGGCTCCGGCTCCTGCTGCGGCCCCTGCTCTGGCTGCGGCTGTGGCTGCTGCGACTGCGACTGCGACTGCGACTGCGACTGCGACTGCGACTGCGACTGCGACTGCGACTCCTGCTGAGGCCACTCCTCCTGTTCTGGCTCCAGGAGCTCGGACTGTGATCCTTTTTTCTTCTTCTAATACTAGGTGAACTGCGCCTCTCACGACTCTTCATTCCATGTTTGTGAGATTTCTTCACCCTACGATTACTACTGCTCTTCCTGTCAGACTCACCATTTCTCCTGTAGGAGACGTTCGGACTCCAGCTCCTTCTTCTTCTTGACCTGCCATAATATTCATCATAGTGACTGGCCCTTTCCCTCCTCTCTGAATTCTTACCAAAGGAGGAGCTAGTCCAATCTGGAGACAGGTATTTGTCTCTATTAGCTTCCCTATATTCATTGTTGGGATTTCTGAACACGTGAAGAAAGTTGCAGTGCTTTCCTCTTGGACACTGCTGTACTTCAAATAAGCCTGTAAGGGCAAGTGAAGAGGCAGCAATTATCACTGTACATTACTGTAATTCATTCTTTTTCTGAAGTCTGAAGATGATTTTTTTTCTGAAAGCATACACTGCTCTGAAGAAGGTCTAACATAGGTGGGGGAATCCTTCAGTTTTCTTTATATAAGAATAACATAATACCCAGACATAGTGGCACACTCGTGTTCAGCCAGGGCTACATAGTGAATTTTAAGTCCAGCCTGGGATACATGAGGTCCTATCTCAAAAACACACACGCACACGCACAAAGAGAACAAAATAAAGGAACTTTGTGGCTGAAAGTACTTGCAGATGACCTCTGTGATCAGGTACTAGTATAGAGAATCTATCAAGAACTTCTATAGCTGGTAATAAAAAGATGTAACTGATTAAAAATTGGTAGCTATCTAAATAGAGATCTCTCTAAAGAAGATATACCAGAAGTCAATAATGAGACAAAAAAGTTATTAGTTACTGAAAAAGATACTAAAGCTGTTTATATTTTGTTGTTTTTAATGAAATAAAACTCTTGGTTTGGAGGTTTCAGTTATACTCAAGCGTATCATTGGAATCACACTACATCTCTAGAAACTTGCAAAACTAACTGTCTATAAAGGAAATAAGCTACCATCCTTACCATCCTGTTTATATGCCCCAACCCTTAATCTTAGGGTGTCATGGTGGTTTTCATTTTCCTAAGCAAGGAATTTGAAAATTCCATATATATATATATCATATATATATCATATATATGATATATATATGAGGGTATCAGATCCCCATCTCTCTAGTCCCTCCTTTTTAAAAATAATTTTTAAATTGATCAATAATTTAGTTTATTTCAAGAATAAGTCTCACTATATAGTCCAAGCTGACCTTGAACTCACAATCCTTCTGTCTTGGCCTCCCTAGACAAGTTTTAGAATGGAAGGTGGCACCATCCATGTCCATCATAAATGTTAAATGACAGCATCCATTAAGAGAAGGCTGCTAAAGATTTAGACTTGCTTGATTAATTATACATTTTTTTACTCAAGTTTTAAGCACCTGGGAAGGAAGAGCAGAAAAACCCAGGGAGAAGGCAGAAGCATACCCCTGAGGTATTAGAGCTTCGTGTCTTTTCACCTGGGGAACTTCCAGACTGATCTGGCTAGGCACTCTCTTAGAAATCAGAAAATGATGAGAGCTTCAAAGCAGCTGGTCACTCTCTGCAGTGCTGAGTCATTTCCTGGTTTGGCAGTCGCTCTCAGATGAGTCAGTGTTATCTGAGAACACCCAGTGTACAACTAAACTGATCCACACCTACTTCAAGTAATGGGAAATGTTAGCCATGGGTAATGTGTGATGATGACGGAAGATTCCTTAGGGATTGAGCCTGAAACAAACAGCTCAAGTGAGAAAAGCCAATGAATAGAAAACACCTTGGAAACTGCAACATGGATAATGTGGGTTAGTTTAGATGTTGCATTGTCACACAGAACTCAGGACTGAGGATCTGAAGACTGAAATTCAAATTGCAATTCTGTCACCAATATATTATAACCTCAGACATTTATTTCATCCATATAGTGACTCACAGATCTGTTATAGATCTAAATTGTGGTGTACTTTATATAACCACTCTATTCATCTGTAGTATGAAACAAAAACTGTGCTTCATCCCTTTAAAATATTGTTTTCTTCCTACAAAGATCCCTTTTGTATAGTGTAGCTATGGGGGAGGGAATGCCACTACATTGGCTTTTACCACAAATTGCCATTTTCCACCGGGTCACTGGGCAGAATTCACATTGAAGCTGTCGTCCTGCATACCATCGTCCATTAAAAACAGAAAAAGCTGCTTGACATTCTTCTTCCCTTGGAAGCAAAAATCAAAGGGTGTGCTTTATAGTAACTCTCACAAGCATAGCAAACCTATTCTGAATTAGCTCCCTTGTCCACTTACTGTAGGACTTCAGTTCTTGAATTGCCTAGGTAGTCCTCAGAGCATTCAGATTCCCACAGCCTAGTTAATTCAGAGACCTCTGTCATTGACTTCTGAAAAGTTTTGTCACAAGGAAATTGGCTAGAGTTAAGGCTTCCTAATCTGCAAGATTTGACAATTAAATCTGCAAAACTGTTTCCCTTTCTTAGAACCCATGCTTTCTCAGCTAGGACTGCTGTTCTTACATACAATGGCTAATTGAAGCCATTAACCATGGCACTGCTTAGAGAAATGGTAATACATGCAGGAATGACTCTCTAACTACATTGCTATCTGGTCAAATGGACACTATTTGGAGCTTTAACCCCTTGTACCTTAGACTGGTATTTTCTACTCTATTCCAATTAGCCCTTATTCAGTTTGTGTTTTAAGTTATGAAGATTATACTATATAAACGAATCAAAACTACAGAACTATACAAAGAATGAAATAAAAGTGTATTATTTTCAAATCTTGCCTGTTTATGAGCTCTTCATATTGACATTTTGAAAATATCATGCATAGGAAAGCTACATATTCAGTGACAGACATCAAAGAAACAGTACCGTAGCTATGATGAGACATGAAGATATGTGTATGTTCACAATACTTACGACTGGTACTGAACATATACATTGCCCCTCAGATGAGGTTCCAAGTTGCAGCTAACCTAAGGAACAAAGAAGAATTCTGTCACACTCACACACAAATTCAAAAGCAGAAAATCATCACATGCATTTTGTCCAGGCAAATAGTCCTTGAGAGTCCAAGAGAGGCAGCACACTTTCCTATCAATTCAAGACAGATCTAAGCACCTAACAACATTACAGACCCCTACTGCCTGGTCTGTTGATCCTTGTTTGCTGTTTTTTAAACCCTGTTAAGTATAAAATGTTTCATAACATGTACATAAAATGTACATAAAAACAGAATACAGGGGTTGGAGCGATGACTCAGCAGTTAAGAGCACTTGTTTGTTTTTGGTGTGTGTGTATGTATATGTTTCTGTTTGGAATATATTATATATATATATATATATATATATATATATATATATATATATATATATATATATAATGTATAGATGTTCACAGACACATGTACACATATAGGCATACATATACTATATGCCAGAAAAATATATCATACACATATATACTAACCAAAATATATAAAACAGTTGTGTGTGTATATTGACTGATTCAGGTGTGTCTGAATATATAGCCAACATGTAGCCTCCTGTGGACTATGAGTTGACAAAAAATGTGGCCAAGCACAAAAATCACAAACTTAATTAAAACATTATGAGGTTTTTTTTTTCCAATTGTTTTTGTTTGTTTCTGTTAACTCAATTGTAGTTCTCAGGCATGAACTCTGTAGACATTATGTCACAATGTCAAAAGTCTGGACACACTTGCTAGTATTACTTTGTACATTTAAAATTCTGTAGAAAGAGCCTGTCTCAGAAAAAATGTTTCAGAATTTTAAAGGTACAAAGCAATACCAGCAAGTGTGTCCAGATGTTTTCCCAATTTGTTTTTGTTTATTTTTGTTAACTCAATTGTAGCTGTCCTAAAACTCACTATGTAGACTGGGTTGGTCTCGAACTCACAGATCCACCTCTTCTAAGTGCTGAGATTAAAGGAGAGTGCCACCATGCCTGGCTCTGCAAGTTTCATATAGATGGTATTCTTTATTTTTTTCAAGTAATACAAGTTTAATGATTCAACTACTATATATTATACATATCAAATCATCATATTTATATATCTGCTCATAATTATCCACAGTGCTTGCAATCTCCCATTCACAAAGCCATCTCTGTAGATGTAAGGCCTTCTCTAGTTAGCATGTTGGGTTTCCATTTATGGGTTTCCACTTCACGATGTCGTACATGAGCTGCTCTTAGGAGTAGCTTTACTAGTATATATTTTCTATTTGATATTAATAGAATTTACATCATGTAGCTGTGAATAATACCTCATTTTCATGTGTTCCTACTATAAGTAGGGATAATTGATCATCGCCTTCAAAAATTATAAATTTGATTTGTCTAAAATGATATATAAATGGTTCTTAAATATCCCTACTAGTGTTTAGCTTTTATCTTCAAAATGAAGCTATTCTCTCTCACTACAGGGTGCTGTTATTAGAACATCCAAAAGGGGACAGGATCCTACTCAATTTGTAACGCCATCTTTAGAAGGAAGACTAAAGGGCCTCAGGAGTCCATGTCACTCATGCCTAGGGACTTTAAAAATCAGTTCATCCAGTCAGGATTAGTGGCACATGTCTAAAATCCCAGTAACAAGGAGGCTGAGGAAGGAAGACTAAAAGTTCCAGGCCAGCCTGAGCTGCATAGTGAGCCCCGTCTCAAAATATAAAGTGCTACAGCACTTTTGCCCACTGTGTACAAGGCCCTACATTCAATCCTCAGAACTACATAATGACAATAATAATTTAGTTCCATGGTTCCCAAGACCTACTGATTCTCCATAATGAATTCAATGTTCTGATAATTTTTGTACCATAAATTTACTAAACAGCTTTTCACTTTATAACTGCCAACGTGATTAGCATGAGCCGTATCATCCTATTTGCTTTCTGGGGGGAAAAAGGTGGTCATGAGTGGATGCAGCCTGCTACAGGTAATAATACAACTTCCACTAACTTCCCTGAGAGCCCCATCCATCCCTACCCCCACTGTGCTGGGGATAGAACCTAGAACCTTTTACAAGCTAGCTAAGTACTCTGCGACTGGGCTACCAATCTGAAATTCTGAAAACAATTTCACCATTGCCACTTCACAGAAGCAGCAGGATCCAGGGGTTCTTCTATGTGGAAAACTACTAATGTAAGCCAGTGTCGCTTGAGATAAGGAAGAGGCACAGAGAAGTAAAGTGACACCCATCAGAGAGGAGCAAACCACACTGCCTCTTTGGCTGGTGCTTGCTTCCATGTGGAACAGTGCTGGCCTAACTGAATGCTTCCACTTTAGTGCTTATCTTTATGCTTTGTTCTGAGTATTGAGAAGGGAGGAAAGCGCATGCCACAGAAATAAAAAGTTTAAAAAAAACATTTGTTTTACATCTCGTTATACATGCATGCCCTGCTCACGTCAGTGTGCATGTGCAGGTCTGAGGACAGTTTCCAACAGTCAGTTCTCTTCCTTTTGCCATGTGGGTACTGAAGATTTGAGTTCAAGATTGTCAAGCTTGGTGGCAAGTGCCTTTATTCACTGAGTCATCATGCCAGCCCAAGAGGAAAACAAATTTTTACTTTTTGTAAATTTAAACTTTGTTTATCTACTAGCTATTTATTTATTTATTTGGGTTTTTGAGGCAGGATTTCTCTGTGTAGCCTATTTGTTTGTTTATTTATTTATTTGTTTGTTTGAGATGGGATTTATAGCCTTACTGTCCTGGAACTCACTCTGAGGACCAGGCTGGCCTCAAACTCAGAGATCTGCCTGCCTCTGCCTCCTAAGTGCTGGGATCAAAAGTGTGCGCCACCACCACCTTTAAAATTTAGGTATTATTAAAACAAGGCAAGGGCTTATTCCCCTCCTCATTTAATCCCCCTTTTCTAGTTTTTTCTTTATCTTTTTATAATACTATGTTCTATTTTCCCTTTTTTGGAAAATAAATTTTAAAGAATATATTTTAAATCTGGAAAGCAGATTGTAATCTCAGATTTCTTGAATATCTATGACACTTGATTAGGCCAACTGTATACTTTTATTTCTGACAGCAAGAAAAAAAAACTCATATGGCTTTATTCCTACTTTTCTCCTTGTCGTCAAAGTCATTCAGGTTCAGATATGATCAAATTACAGACAAGGTAAGAGGCCTACATGTTGGGAGTCCCTGGAACAGCATCTCATCCTCCTTGGTGAGTGAAACTGAACACTGGTATATATAACAGGGTTCTGGGAGAGGCGCTGAACGAGGGAAGGAAAGGACCCATGTCCATCACAGACAGCAGCTAAGTGAAGGCTTGGATGGCTAGATACAACAGACCTGACAATTTCTTCTGGAAAGAGCTGCAACACAAGAGGCCCTGAAGAAGAGTCCTTTCCAACCCAGGCCCTAGCATTCAGAAAACATGCCAACACATGCTTATGATTTCCTAGTGTATCTGCATGGCATTGCCCAGGGTGGGGGAGTGGAAAGGAAGAAAATTCAGTGATGTTTACCAAGCAAAGTTTACCATGCTCAGCCTCAGACCAGGCATATATGGAACATGACAAGTGAACATCCTGAGCCCTAGATCTACCCCTGTATGCTTATTTCAGCTGTGTCAGGCCCATCCCAGCTTGTGCGCACCTTAAACTGAATCACTTTTCCCACATTCTTGAACTCGGGCAGGACATCATAATAGAAGTCTAGGAACTGTTGATAGGTCTCTTCTTCACTGTATTCTAAGCTTGAGTCAGGATCATAGTCATCCCTCCTGCACTGCTCCATTCCAAACGTTGTAAACATGCTCTTAATCAGCAAGGTGGGACTTGACGTGGGGAAGTTGTGTTTACGAGAACACCTGCAGAAGAAAAGTGAATTCATTTGTCCAATAACAAAATCACACATTAAAAGCTTACCATTAACTTTGAGAATAAGACTCAAGTAACATGGCTGTTTTAGACTTAACTATATTACAATGACATTGCTTAGGCAATGAACACTGCTTAGAGGCTCAGTTACAGCACCCAAGAAAAAACTGTTCTAAAACTAGCTGGTTTCTCATTGAAATACAAGATTAGGAATGGTTTCCAAGGCATATGCCATTCAGGAGCCTTTGAATACATTCAAAGAGATTTCTCTATGTTGAACTATTGGGAAAAGGAAAGCCTAGTCATGTGACAGATTGCAGTGACAAGATTAAGATGCTGTATGTGAGACTTAAGAAGGTGAGAATTAGCAATATATTTTTGCTTCTACACAATCTTCAACTGATTGTCTCTGGCAGCCAGCAGCTGCTGGGGATAGAGGACTTTAGGAATGTTGCCACTGGTAAGTTGCCAATAATCTAGTAAATAACCTCATACTCGTACATATACAAGCAACGTTCATTAAACTCAGTAGGTTATTTAAAAAAGAAAACACATTAAAAAGATGTACTAGAAAGAAGGGATCCAGAGGGATGAGACAGTAATGAAGGTGAATATGATCAAAATACATTATAGACATTTATGAAATTATCAAAGAATTAAAAAAAACTACAACCAAAAAGTTTAACAAAAGCAAGCATCCAAAGAAATGCTTAGGTTAAGGAAATATTTCTCTGCTTGGCATGGTATTTACATATCTATAATCCTAGCTACTCAGAACAAGTTCCAGTTCAGCCTGGATTATAGATTAAGACCTCATTTAAAAAAAAGAAAGAAAAAGAGAGAACAAGCAAGGGAAATGTTTCTGTGGCATCTGACCAACTGTAATGCAGATGACCCAGTTGTGTCACTTGAAGTAAGTGATCTGGCCTCTCCACAAAGGGAAGCACAACTATTTGTTAGAAAAGACAGCTTTGGTTTTCAGAACTACAAGTTCACACAATGTTATGCTCCAACTCATTACTTGAACTACACAAAGAGCCAAGTTGTTCTCACACTTTGAAGTTTGTGATGGTAAAGTTCCATATACCTATGACAAGGATAAGTAATTTGACTATGGTTTTTTTTTTTTTGAATGACTGTCTGCAGAGATGGTGTCTAAGAACCTGAAAGGCCACTCCACTTTTCACAAGGAACTGCCAGTCCATTTTCCATATAACTACTTAATATACCTATCCTTTTCTCATACCCAACGGGAAAGCCCTGAATCTGGCTTAAACAGATATTAAATTTCAAGGAAGTGTTAAAGATACATCATAAATAAGAGAGCTGGAAAATCTTAAAGGCAATTTGTTTCAACTACTCATGCAAATATGAACCAAAATTGGGGCTCATTTGGCCATCTGTCCAACATCTATCTTTGGTGGGAGGTGTTTCATACAGATCATTACTTATTTTGTGTGTGGATGCACTATGCCACAGCATAAATGTGAAAGTCAGAGGATCACTAGGAGAAGTCAGTTCTCTCCTTTCGCCATGGAGATCCAACTCAGGTCATCAGCCTGGGCAACAGGCACCTTTACCCACAGAGCCATCTCACTGGCTCTTAAGCTATGTTTTATTATTTCTTCTTGAGATTGAATTTTTTTAAGAAAAATGTTTCTAAAGGTATGAAAAGGAAGGTAGCTTCCTTCCCTCAGTTCCCCAGACCCTCAAAGGCCTTTTCTACTTCTTTATCAGATTCTGAGTCACAGATGTGCTAGCAATCCTTAGCCATCAAATCCACAAAGTAGTACATATTATACATCAATCCTGGAGCACTCAGAAATACCTGAAAGCATCTCAAAATTCACAATTGAATAGTCTCCTCAATTCTGATTTACTCAATCTGAGGTGAGACATGATTTTGTTTAGCTTTTTCCCTTTTTACATGATTCCACTATGTATCCAGGGTTAGGAACTATTATTGCCTTTTAATTCTTAAAAACGATGTTATGTGTGTTTGTGTGTATCGTGGGATATGCCTGAATACAGGTGCCTATAGAGGTCAAACAAGTGTCAGATCCCCTGGAGCTGCCTGATATGGAGGCTGGGAACTGAACTTAGGTCCTCAGGAAAAGCAGCACATGCTCTTAACTGCGAGCATCTCTCTAGCCTAAGGGTATTACTCTTGAAAAATAAAAAATAAGCTGGGCATGGTGGCAGACAAGTGTAATCTCGGCACTTGGGGTGTGGTAGCAGAAGGATCAGGAGTCCAAAACCAGTCTTGGCTACATAGAGTTCAAAACCAGCCTGGGCTCCATGAGACTGTCTCAAGAAACCAAATGATTACTAGGTATGGTAGCATACGCCTTTAATCTCAGCATTTGAGAGGAAGAGGGAGATGGATCTCTACAAGTTCCAAGGCCATTACACAGTAAGACCTCAAAAACAAAAAAAAGAAAACGAAAACCAAAGATTCGGATTATATCTTCTCTTCCACACATTGGGTAGATAGTAATTAGACTATGCCTCCAACAGATTTGCTTACTGTTAGTAACATTTGCTTACTTTGATTTATACATAATGTCATAGTATAAAACATCATCATTACCTGGCATATAGTAGGTTTCAACTATTAGCTAAATGACTGAAGATATCAATACTATGTTTCTACGTATCTTACCTTTACAAAAGAAGTTGGAGGGCAGGAAGAACGAACACATCAAAAAATGACAACAGTAACAACAAAAATACTGAACAAGGAAATCAGTGAAAACTGAGGAGCCATGCACCCAACCCCTGTGTTCGCTACGCTCAGCTCACTCTCCAAGTTACCTCAAAAAGACGGAATTATGCATCGTCTTCATTTCATTGATGAAGGAATTAAGATGTACAGAGTTTAAGTAAACTTTCTCACTGCCACAAAACCTAAGGAGTCGATTCCTAAATCTGAACATACTGATTGACAGCAGAGAATTAAGAGCCTAGTCCTCTACTTGCTACAATACTATCTTTCATAAATGTCCCTATACCCATGCCAAATTAGAGAAGACTATTTAGGATACAGGTTTACTATTGAAAGGATATTTCTTGCTATTCTAATCACTTGCAACATAAAATCCCCCCCAACCAAGTTGCTCTCCTGACTCATGTGAACATGGAAGAAAGCAACAAGCAAATGGTCCTCCTAAAGTATCACTGGGCATACAAACCACACTTAAGGACAGGCCCCATGCCAGCAGTAGACAGCCAACACAAAACAAACTCAACGGTATTTTGGGAGGTTTTTTGTTGTTTTTGGTTTATTGATTGGTTGGTTTGAGTCATATTTTTTTTAACCCTACAGGTCTTTTGCGTTTATACACACACTCTCTTCTGATTTTGTGTTTTCATGGGATTTCTATGTGTGAGAATGTGTCTCTATATTTGTGCGTGTGTAGTTTTTTCTGTTTATTTTGTTCTATTGTGTTTTTTAATTGTAGTTTTTTTAGATGCCTGTTTGTTTTCTTTTTTTAGATATAATTTACCTTTATTACTATGATTGATTTTTAAACAGCAAGAACATATTCATTTCTTTCTTGTTTCCAGGTGGTGTTACAATAAGTAAATAAACAATGAAAACTTATGTTTGTATTCATCAGAAAGAAACCACAAACCAAGCTAAAACATATAAAATGTTTCAAAATATTAAGAAACAGTAGTCATTTGTAATATACTTCTTTCTACCTCTTTGTATACATAATTGACTAGTTTTCTATCTATGAAACCAATGACTACATGCAGCTGTTCTTGGTAGGATTATTACACATGAAATAGTTTAGTAACTTCTAAGCAGAAATAGTCATATATCACCTTTGCATTATTTTGCTTTTAAAACATTTTAATTACATGCAAGTATTAAGGTCAGTTCTAGGTTGAACCAGATGCAAATAGTCTGCAATTGCTTTGACACAAAAAGTTAAAACAGGTACATTTGTTAACCATTTAGCATAAAAATGTTACTAATGTGTTGACTATACAAGGGGATTTAGATAGGCATTTGGAACAAGGGATTGATGTTCTTTATTCTATTCAAATTATTGGAAGGAGGTTCAGAGTTTAAGAGTAAGTACCCATCTCAAGTGCCATGCCAAATACCAATGGATTCATGTTACTTCTAAAATTTACACTGATACTCATTATAATTAGGAAAAAGTTTAAAGATAATTGCAGGGTATTTGACATAATCCTAATACCTTTCTGGATGTTTTAACTTTGCATAGTAAGATTATGAATTTAAAGAATGTTGCTCTGCTGAGCTTTGATGCTGCAGACGATGCTGATAAAATTATCCATGGCCTGAGGTCAGTATTTCCATTTTGATCAAGCTTCAAGAATGGCATATATAGTTTGATCATGCTAGCCCTTTTTGTCCTGGGAATACTTTTATTCCTTCCCATTGTGTAAAAGCTTGTCTTTAACAACATGAACATGTTGGCAGCCAAAAAATGAATGGCTTGAAGGTGACATTAATTCTAAAAGCAAGACATAAGCCAGGTACAGAACTATAGTCTTTTAAGTTAAGATAGATGACAACAGTCTTTTTATTGACAATATATTGGACTGGGTATTAGATCTATCTTGTACCTTACTGTTACAATTGATATAGTTGTGCTCTAATTATATTTTGAGAGAAAGGGTTTTTTTTCATTCTGACAAGAAGGGTGATATGTAGTGGGATATCCCCCCTACACACACAGACACACGTTTTACAATAAACTTGGTAATTTGAGAGGAGCTATTAAGGGAGGAGTAAGGAGAGGAAGAGAAGAAAGAGGAGGAGCTAGGAGAGGAGAGGGAGAGATGTAGGAGCCATGGAGAACCAGGCATGCATGCATCAGGAACAGTCCTGGGTAACAAATTTTATCTAAGGTTAGGTATTAGGTAACAATTCAAATTATGTGGGTATCTTGTTAGCTGCACATTTCTAATTATATAAAGCCTTTGGATAATAATTAAGCTTTAGAGTCTCATTTCATCCACAGGTACAACGTGGATGGCAGGTATTGTCTGGGGTTCAGCCCAGCTTTGTGGAGACAGTGTGGTGAATTGGCTGATCTAGTCACCACGATGGCATCTTATGGGTGCCAGGGCCGGCCCTGGCTGGTCTGAGCCACCGCTCTTGGCCTCAGGCCTTGTCTAGTTAGGAACATGGCAGCCCCATAAAAACAAGCCAGATTGGGCCATGCCATTTTAAATATTACCCTCAACAGAAAATGGACCCCCTAACAGTTATTAATTTAACAAGCTGGCAAGCCAAGGACGGGTAAGATTTGCATAGAGCCTTACCAACCTAAGACATAAATACATTGCTTTTGATAATGCATTTCCCACAATCAGTAAGACAGGTTCAGTCTGACAAGTCTGATCTATGAAATAAAAAAGGGGGAGATGTGAAGAGCTTTTGAGGCTGCTTGGCAGGAATCTGACATTGACCAAAGACAAGGAAATGGGCTTCAGGCAGGAAGCTGACATTAGGCTATAACAAATAAGTAATTTCAGGCAGAAATCTAAATCTTACGTTGGAACAAATAAGTAAGCTTCAGGCATAAAAATGACTTTGGGCTAGAACAGGGAAGTAGGCTCAGATATTTTGGTCATCTTGATAAGCACTTAGAAACAGTGATCATCGGAGAAATCACAGGGCTTTGTTTATTACCTTGCTTGTTCTTTGACTATCTGTGTTTATTGTCTTGCTTGTTCATTGACTATTTGCATCTATTGTATTGCTAGTTCCTCAACCTAGAACTGACCTTAATACTTGTAATTAAAATGGTATAAAAGCCTGTTTGTTTTCTAATGAGAAAGAAAAGGCGTAGATTCTGGTTGGTGAAGAGGTGGGGGAAGATCTATGAGGATTTTGAAAAGGGGAAACCATGATCAGAATATATTATATGAAAAAAAAATCTATTTTCAATTTTAAAAAGTCTTCCTAAGGCTATGGAATGCAAAGGATTCACTCAGTTAAGCTGATTTAGTAAGCAGGCAAGGAAGCATCACATACCTGATGACAAACATATCAGACTAAAGTCTATGCCTTTTCCAAAACCCCAACACTTTCCATAATTTAATTCTCACACAAAGCAAAATCCATTACCTATCTCCAAATCTGCAAGCTCCCGTTTTACTGTAGAATGGACAGTTGGCTCGATCTTTCTCCAGTACTCTTATATCCATGGGCGGTTCTGGGTTCTGCCAGGTGCCACCATTTTCCAACTGTTAAAAACAACCATGACTTTACTGGTGATGTAAAAGCCCATGAAAAACAGTTTCTCCAATTAGTCAAATATTTTAATCCGAACACAAATGGTTTCATATATAGACATGTGTAGTTAAATTAGAATAAGGAATCAAGACATTACAGGCAACTGTTCAGAAACATGAGCTGTATTTCTCTCTTGGCTCCCAGTCATTTTTCTTGATTTGGGGGGGGGGTCACTTAATGTTACCAGATATAGTCACAAAGGTCTTCTTCTATCCATCTATTCTGAAAAGGGTCTATGGATGTAGGGAGCCATCAGAAAGAAGTACAAACTACTCTGAATCAAGGTGAGTGAACCAATCATTTTGGACCAGTAGTATGTGATGTCACTTACAAACATTTTAAGTACTTAATACAAGTATAGCCCATGAGATGATTCAATAACACATCAATTGTCTTCTGATGTTATGTAACTGAAGGGTTATAAAAGTGATTCTGGGTATCCAGAATTAACCAAAACCTACCACAAAAGTCATATTATTTAAACTATTGTTTCTAATGAAGTATAAATTGATCTCAAAATCTTTTTTAAGGCAATAGTCTCTCTATTGTAGTCCAGGCTGGCTGCAAACTTGTGGTCATTCTCCTGCTTCGAGCCCCCCACCCCCACCCCAGGGCTAGAATGACTGGAATGTACCACTGCTAGCTACCTCAAAGTCTTAATAAAAGGTTTTGAAAATACCTCATTTTCAGCCTGATCCAGCATCTTCTGCACAGCTTCCTATAAGTGGTGTAAACATAGAACTAATGAAAACCAAGATGTCAGGTAAGTCACGTCTGGTTTCTCTAGTTATTAATCTCATATATGACAACACACACATGAACACACATACAAAAGGCTTCTGATTTTGATTTCCTTTCTAAGCATATATCTCCTAAAAAGTTTTCAAAAGATATATAGCTTAGAGTTTTTATTCAAATACAAAATTTGAATAGAGCACATTGCAAATATTTAAGTCATAATAGCTTCAACAATATATTTATACAAAATGACTATTTTTGAAAAATTAAGTTAAACATCACAAATATTTAACAAATGCAAAAACATGACATGAGTAGTAGTAACTAGGATTTAGGAAAAATTATACAGGAAGTCCAACAAGGCAGCAATAAATCTCTAACTAGTTGGTTTAAAATACATACAAAGTTAGGTTCCTTAGCGCCTCAAAATCATATATATGACTGTGTTTAGCTGCTTACTTAGCAAGTCTGTCTCGTTCTGGCAACTTAAGTGTCATTGTAGCAGCTGGGTGTGGTGGGGTCCAGCACTCAGGAGGCAAAGACAGTTGGATTTCTGTAAGTTTGAGACCAGCCTGATCTACAAATAAATTCCAGGCAAGCCAAACACAGAGAAACCCCGTCTCAAAAACAAAACACCAAAAAAGTAATTTCTTTTGGGTTTAGTTTTGGTTGGGAGTTGGAGATCAAACTAAAGGTTCTACTTTTACCACTATGCTAGACCCACTCACTATTTACCACCAACTCACAAAATAAGAACTCTTGATCTCTTCCATCTATTCACCCCCATTACCCAATCTAAATACCCTCAGTACTGCCATTTTCCCATTTGTTTAAAACAAACAAACAAACAAACAAACAAAAAACCAAAAACACCTTAAAACATGGCTTCAGTTCCCTTTCCTTCTTCCTTCCATAGAATTTGCCAGCTGGAGTCCTGGTAACTGTGTTGCTTATCTGTTTGAAGATCTGATCTCTTCTAAATACCATTATCACCCACATTGTAATCAGTTATCCAATTTCCTCTCTGGCCCCTGTTCTTTGTAGACAAACTAGGATAATCTGTTGGAAGTAACATTACTAACAGGTTGAAGTCACACCTTGTTTAAAAACTCTCATTAGAATATGGTAAATAAAACCAAACTCCTTTAAATCTAAGAGGCTTGTAATCCTCCTGCATCTGCCTCCTTCAGCAAATTCTACTAGAGTGCACCACCACAACCTGAGCTCACAGAGACTGAAGTGACAAACACAGGGCCTGCACTGCCCTGCATCAGGTCCTCTACATATATGTTATAGCGGTTAGCTTGGTGTTCTTCTCCGACTCCTAAGAGTGGGAACAGGTGTATTTCTGACTCTTTTGCCTGTTCTTGAGACTCTTTTCCTCCTATTCCGTTGCCTTGTCCAGCCTCAATATGAGGGCTTTCAACTTGTCTTATCGTATCTTGTTTTTTTTTCTGTTTGGCTTTTCTGTTTGGTTGTCGTCTCTTGGAGGCCTGCTCTTTTCTGAAGAGGAAACGAAGGGGGAGTGGATCTGGGGGAGGAGGAAGGTGAGGGGTACCTGGGAGGAGTAGACAGAGGGGAAACTGTGGTCAGGATGTACTGTATAAGAGAATAATCTATTTTCAATTATAATCTGCCCCTTCTGATCCTCCCTAGTATCTCCCATGCTCTTGCTCCAGTCTCCTGTGGTCTCTAAGTTTCAAGTACCACCAAGGTCCCTTACTCCCAATATCTCCACTCTCAGGTGTTATTTCAAACATCACTTCCTCAGTGACTTCCTTGGCCAGCAATTCAAATAAGTACCCGGACCTCTATTATTCTATCACACCACTCTCCTTTTATCTCTTTATAAGCCTAACATCCTACTGTTATGATCTGCTTTGCTGACTTACCCTCAGCCCCTCCCATTCAGAATGGTCACTCCAGAAGAGCTGAGACTGTGTGCTTTTTGTCTCTGTCCAAGCATGTAAATGAAACACACCATCTTGTATTCCTTTATGTATGCTTAGAATTGATTTCATTTTACCTACTTTGCCTTAACCAAACTCCCTTTAAAACAAACACTTTGAGAAGTGTTTTTACCTGATCTTTTACCTGATCCCTGAAAGTTGAAGAATATTCTACTGTTAAAATAGGAATTGATTCATCTCTGTAAAGTATGACAATCCAGACAATTTTTGTGCCCTTAATATCCCCATCTGGATAATGCCTCATCTAAAAGGCAGTGCTCAAACAATGGTGCCAAAAATGTGCATTGAAACTGCCGTCTGTGACACAAACCTGATTGTGGAGACTGCTGCCACCTTTCCATGACTAGAAGGTCAATACATACATCTCTCATTATAAGATGAGTAACTATAGAATGTCATGCCATTCAAATTTACTGATGGCAAAAGGAAAAATATCTCCATAAATCAGTCAAAGCAAGATGAGCTGTGTGTGTTATATTTTAAACAAATACACAGTTGAGGACCAACAGCAAAACAAACCAATCACGTACCAGAAAACGTACATGATATATAAATATACATTACAGAATTTCTTTTTTAAAGCAATGGTGGGGATTCCTAAGGAAAGGTTTTAACAAAGATTTAAGCATAAGCATTAAGAGACAGGGAGAGAAACATGTAAGAAAAGGACAATAGCATGTACCCTAGAGTAGGAACAGGTTTCTCAAAGAATTTCTTAAATGACTGTCATTTATTCTGACAATAAAGTTAGACAGGATACCAAGATTTAATAACAAAATAATTTCTTAATTCCTTAATGTCTGTTAAACTAATTCTTGTTGAGACATCATTAGCTATTACGTCTCTTATGAATTTAATAGGTGTGAACTATTCACACTACTATTCTGTGAAGAACTCAACACATATACAACAGAACCATAGGAAAGTAGCACTTGCTACAGAGTGGTACAGAGTGTAAAACAGGCCAGCTGCCTGGCTTACAGAAATGTTTTACTAGAACACAGCCACATCCATTCATATACATATTATCTATGTCTGCTTTAGGGTACACTGGCAGAGCTGGATGTCCACTTCATAACACTCCATACAGACATCACAACCTAAAATATGATCTACTCCTTAAGGAAAATGTTCATCCATCTCTAATATAAACAGTAAGGTAACTTATGTAAAGGTATCTGGCATTGTACAACCCAAAGAAGAGAACCATTTGGAAACTAGTGTAGTGTTTCTAACAAAAACTGACTCCTTCCAAATGAACAGAACATGAGCAAAAAGTAAAACCAAATGCAAGCCCTGAAGTGCCCACTGCTGAATCTGCAAACCTTTTACATGCACACAAAGAAGATATGCAGGGTTCTATCCTCCTATGACAGAAGTCACCTCTCTTTCTCTCTTCTCTTGTTGTTTCTGCTCCTCTTCCTCTCGCTCTTTTCTCTGCTGTTCTTCCCATTCTGCCTTTAACTTTCTCTTTAAAGGAAAAAGAGGTGTTACTCATTCTTAAAAACACTGGCCTACCAAGTAAATATTTGAAAAGCTTTAGAAATATTGTTCATTGGAAAAAAGAGACAATTTAAGTTTCTATTTTTTTATGTTAACATATGTATAGCTCTCTTTGTTTACACATGCTGGGAAAGGAATCCAAGGCCTGGCACATGCCTAGCAAGAGCTCTGTAACAGACCTCTACACCCCCAAAAAGACAACCTTTTAAAAGATTTTATTTGTGTGAGTATCACTGTGAATGTATGCGCATATGTGTGAGCGGGCATACATGCTAAAGCTCATGTGTGGGTTCTGGGAACAGAACCCAGGCCCTCTGGAAAAGCAGCAAGTGTTGTTAACTACTAAGCCATCTCTCCAACCCTATAACAAACATCTGATTTTATTTTTATTATTAAATAATCTTATTTTACTGGATGTGTACTGGTGTTTTGCCTACATCTATATGTGTGTACCATATGTGTGCCCGGTGTCTCCAAGGCCAGAAGAGGACATTGGATCCCCTGGAACTGGAGTTATGGATAGTAGTGAGCCATCATGAGGGTGTTGGGAATCAAATCTAAGTTGTTTAGAAGAGCAACCAGTGCTCTTAACCTCCAAGCCATTAATCATCGCTCCTACAATCAGGTCTTAAAGAGACTTATTTCAGCTAAGCACTTACTCAGTGAACTAGATACTTAATGCCCTACCTCTAGTTCTTCCTTCCGTTTTCGAGCTGCCTCTTCTTTTTTCTTCTTTGCCCTGAATTCTTCTTGTGCCTTCTCTTCCCTCAGTAACCATTCTTCATGTAATCTTTGCCTGTTAATATGATGTAGTCAGTAAAAACAAATAGGAATTAATCTAAAATGTATAAAAGACAGGGAACCAATAAATGACATGGAAATTCAAATTTTCTATAAAACAGTGAAGATGGGAGTGTGGCTCTTGGAAAAGTAACTATCTTCCTGGACAGAATAAGTTACAATTACTACTTCAAGCTTTCATAAGCATTTGCACCTGTGATGCCTTCTTTTTCTGTAAGAAAGTTTCAGTGATTTTCATCTCAGGCAAATATGTCAAAGCAGTATCTGTGAGTTTTCACATTCACATAGCATTATTCTTCCTAACATACGCATTCTTTTCCCACTAACATTACTTTCTCCTCATCCTCTTCTTTTTTTATTTTGAGACAAAGTTTCTCTGTGTAGCCCTGGATGTCCTAAAACTCACTCTGTAGACCAGGCTGGACTCATAGAGATATGCCTGCCTCTGCCTCCCCAGTGCTGAGATGAAAGTTGTGTATCACAGCTGGCTAAATGTACATTTACTAATTTATGTTTATATGCCTGATGAGCAGAGGAGGTGAAAAGACGGAGGGAATAGTAGTTGTAGATGATTGTGAGTTACCATGTGGTTACTGGGAACCAAACTTGGATAATCTGAAATAGCAAAATAAATGTTCTGAATTAGTGAGTCTTCTTTCCAGCTCCCTAAAACCTTATTGTTTTAACGACATGCTCACAACTCACAACATAATTTTTTCCCAGAGGTTTAAATGTTTAAAGGTCAAATCACAGGTATTCCTTGACTCTATAGAATAGAAACTCAAAGGTTATAGAGAAAGACGCCAGGCTTTTTTTTTTAAGAGCCATAATCATAAAACTGACTTTTAAAATGCACAAACTAGCCAGGTGGTACATGCCAATGGGCCTAGCAATTAAAAAGCTGAGACAGAATTATAAGCTCTAGGCTAATTTGAGCTTATAAAACAAGACCCTTGCCTAAAACAAACATACAAACAACAACTCCTCTCCCTCCCCAAAAGGTAATGAATGTTACCTTAAATCAATTAAGTCCCAGACATCCAACAGCACAAGATTCTCATTTAAAATCTTCATTGGACTAGATTTGTAATCACCTAGGAAACACTGCTCTGGTCATGTCTATTGAGGGAGTTTCCAGGAGTATTAACCCTAAATGAACCTATCTGGTGGACTGGGGTTCCTGGCTGGAGTAGTAAGGGGAAGGGGAAAATGAAGCTGAACACCTGTTCCCTGACTACAGACACAACTGGAACAGCTACTTCTAGATTGTTCCTGCTGCACAACAAGAGCAGCTCTCATCACCATCCCACCCCCACTCTGATGAACTACAGAAGACTAAAAATTATGAATAATCAATTATGCTACATCAATACAACATATGCTATAGTGTCATTAGAATTAGGTCTTTATGTCAACACTAAAATATACATATGTTTATTTACCAATTAGCAAAAGCAATAAAAAATACTTCTACTAAAACAACAACAACAAAACAGGTACAATGGCACATGCCAGTAATTCCAGCATTTGGTAGGCTAACGCAATAAGATCCTGAGTTGGAGACTAGTCTAGATTTGTCACCAAAAAAAAAAAAAAAAAAAAAAAGAAAGAGAAAAAAAAGGCATCTAACTTTAGCCTGTCAGCTAGGGATTTATTTTATAAGAGGTTATTTTCCAAAACCCATTTTTTTACAAGAATTTATATGAAAACCATCTACTAATTGGTAAAGACAGATAGTATTACAATAAACAGTTTAAGTGTTTCAGTTAGTACTGACCTTTCTTCCTCCAACAACCTTTCTTCTTCTAATTGTTTTTCTTCAGCAAGAGGATCTTCTTCCTCCTCTTTCTGTGACAATTCTATAGAAATTCAAATATTTTATTAAGTCTCACAATCCTTGGTCAATTATTCATGAAAAATAAATAAATATTTAACCTTTACGATTATAATAAAAACCTAAAATTAAGGCATAGTGGTAAAGCCTTTAATCCCAGCACTCAGGGGGCAGAAGCAAATGGATCTCTGAGTTTGAGGCCAGCTTGGTCTACACAGTAAATTCCAAGACAGCCAGGGCTATATATCCTATCTCAAAAAAATCTTAAAATGAATAGTAGTTGTAACCTACAATAGGTGCTGGGCCGTGAACTCTGATACCCCTGACCCTTCTTCCTGAGTACTACAATAAAAGGCATACACCACCATAGCACTGCCTAAGCCGGGGTTCTTAAGCCTCATGTTAGCTTTTTTTTTTTTTAAACAATGTTTCCATAATGATACTCATGACATGGCTGTACAAAACAGAAAGGGGAGAAGGGGAAGACAGAGAGGGAAAGCAGGAGGGAGGGAAAGAGAGCCTGCAAATATTTAATGATTTTCCAAAGTTATAGAAAGTACTCATGAATATTTAAGTATTCTATTGTTTTTCAACTTTGTGTACACTGAAATACTTTTTAAAATAAATAAAAACCTGGCAAGATAGTTTTAATAGAAGAAAAGTGTATACCTTCTATTCAAAGTTTCAATTTGAAGGGGGGAAGAAAGGAGTGCCAGTTGAGACATGTGGGAGGAGACAAATGAAGTGAGCTTAAGAAATTGCAACAGATCAGCTTCAGGCTTAAAGCAGGAGGGTTCTGTAATCAGTAACAACAGCTTACTGCTATTTTTCTTTCTCATCCTTGAGAGAGGATTGTACAGCAATGTCATGAGTATCATTATGGAAACATTGTTTAAAAAAAAAAAGCTAACATGAGGCTTAAGAACCCCGGCTTAGGCAGTGCTATGGTGGTGTATGCCTTTTATTGTAGTACTCAGGAAGAAGGGTCAGGGGTATCAGAGTTCACGGCCCAGCACCTATTGTAGGTTACAACTACTATTCATTTTAAGATTTTTTTGAGATAGGATATAGGGCCTGCCTCTCCTGAACTAGTTCTCAAGCACTGTTATGCACAGTCTCCGTGGTCTGGCTGGCAGCCATCGCAACCTGGTCCTGTTGTGTGATTCAACCCTCTTACCTGCATTTAGAAGTGCTTGATCATTTTATACACATCTAATTTTATAAATCTACTACATTCATAAATCTAACACATAAAATATCGGGTTCTGTCACATGAGGGCCAAATGGCATGGTGGCTGGCTGCACAGATGAGCTTTATACCTCGAGTTTGGGCAGGAAATAGAGGGAGCAGTTGCATGGGCTGGGGGTGTAGCTCAGTTGGTAGAGTGTTTGCTTAGCATGCATGAAAAGATCAAATGCAACCTGGCATGGTCGCCACACCTGTCACCCCAACACTAAGAAGGCAGAGGCAGGAGGATCAGAAGTTCAAAGAGTCATCCTCCGCTACATAGAGAATTTAAAGCCAGCCTGATTGAGGCCACATTGGGGGTGGGGTGGGGGGGCGTGGCAGGAATAGAGGGAGCCATTTTATATCCAGAACAGACAAGGCCTCTACTACCTGCATCTCTCAGACGAGCGAGCTCCTGCCGTCGTTTCTTGCGTCTCTCCTTCTTCCGGAGAGCCATGTACTTCTTACGGCTGGAAGATTGAAAAGCACAAACAAACACACACAGAGTGAGCGGCCGCACACAAGGCTCTGCGCCCTCAGGCTCCGGGCCTACCTAGGACAGTGTTCCGAGGCACAGGAAGGAGGCGGGCTACCTGTGCAACTATCTGCCCTCCGGTCGCTTCGTCCCCCAACCTTCCTGCTCCCCTCCTGCCTCCTAGAACCACTCCGGCAGTCCCGGACAGCCAGGAAGAGCGGATTAGTATTTGTTCCCACACGCGCGGCCGGAAGGCCTGATCGCCTCAACTCGTCATTTCCTATACCTGAGTTTTGGTGGAACCGCCGTAGGCCCCGCCGCCTCCATACTGCCGTCGCCGTCTCCCAGTTGCTCCATCGCCCACTCAGCGCAGCCACCGGTACCTGCCCGAGACGGAAGGAGGGGGCTGTCTTCCCCAGCTAGTCAGCCAGGCTCTACGGCCTGAGAAAATATACCCTTAAAGAGGCCGCCGCAGCCACCACGGCAGACCCGAGAAAGGAGGAGGGTGGTTTCCTCCCTCGGCTAGAAAACCAGGCACCGTGGCCAGAGAAAACGTCACCTCACCGAAGCCGCCTCCAGAGCTCGTCCACCACCGGAAACACGGACCACCGCTCCTCAGGGCGTCCGGGCGGCCGTCTTACCACCACCCCTTGCCCAGAATTCAAGGCGTTAAGGCCTAGCTCCGCCCCCTCAATCTAGATTCCAGGGAAACACCTCCAAGCCCCGCCTCTCTCCGCGGCTCCACCCATCAGCGCCCCAGACAAAGTTTTGTAAAGCCTGCTGACTCTTGTTCCAAAGGAATCAGGTTTGTTACCCTTGTTCTTACTCCTGAGAAGCAGAGAGGGACCGACATTAAGTGCAGGTGAAGGGGATTTCGGCTGGCTCTCAAGTTGTGCTTGGAAAGAAGAGGAAAGACAAAAAAAAAAAAAAAACAAGCTGAAAGCGCCTGGGGTGAAACTGGAATGTGCTGGGAAGCAGAGAATTTTGTTACTTGAACAAAAGTACAAGGCGAGGGTATCTAGAGATTGGATGCTGCTACCCCATGCCTTTGTGCAACGGAGAGGTGGGCTGGAGAAGAGGGCTCTGCTGTTAAGAGCACTTTACTACTATTGCAGAAGATACGAGTTTGGTTCCCAGCACCCACCACACAGTTCACAACAATCTGTAATTCCAGTTCCAGGAGATCCAGATCCTGTGCTGCAAGCACGCAAAGAATATGTGTAGATAAATAGATGGATAGATAGATAGATAGATAGATAGATAGATAGATAGATAGATAGATGCAACGAGAAAATGTTAAGCTATAGCAAACTCCAGGAGTATTTGTATTATGGATAAATCTTACTTTGCAGTGTAAAGGATTAAATTAGCCAGACAAGGTAGTTCACACCTAATCCAAAACTCTTAGCATTCTTAGAAACTAAGGCAGGGCTGGAGAGATGGCTCAACGGTTAAAAGCACTGACTGCTCTTCCAGAGGTCCTGAGTTCAATTCCCAGCAACCACATGGTGGCTCACAACCATCTGTAGTGGACATCTGATGCCCTCTTCTGATCTTGTCTAAAGATAGCGACAGTGTACCCACATACATGAGGTAAATAACTAAATCTTAAAAAAAGAAAGAAAGGAAGGAAGGAAAAGAAAGAAACTAAGGCGAGAGGATCAGGAGTTCAAGGTCAACCTTGGCTGTTTAGAAAGTTCAAGACCAACTTGAGCTACCTGACACTTCACTTAAAAAAGAAAGAGAAGAAAAAGGTAATACTCTATCACAATAATCTAGGTGAGGTATGATGTGGAACTAGAGAGAAAAAATAAAAATAGGGGCGGCAGATGATGGAGCAGGTAAAGATGCTGAGGATCTGAACTCGGTCCACAAGGACCCACAGAGCAGGAGAGAAGAGGTTCCCACAAATTGTCCTCTTGGGCATGCATTTCCACTCTAAATAAATAAATGTAAAAACAACAACAAAAACAAAATGAAAAAAAAAAACCCTTGCGAATAATCAGACTTTGCTTAACACATCCAAGAATCAGAAACAAGGCTGTCTCCTAAGACAGCCTTTTTACTGCTGTGAACAGACACCATGACCAAGGCAATTCTTATAAGGACAACATTTAATCGGGGCTGGCTTACAGGTTCAAAGGTTCAGTTCATTATCATCAAGGTGGGAACATGGCAGCATCTAGGCAGGCATGGTGCAGGAGGAGCTGAGAGTTCTACATCTTTATCTGAAGGCTGCTAGGAGAAGACTGACTTCCAGGCGGCTAGCATGAGGGTCTTAAAGCCCACACGCACAGTGACACACCTACTCCAACAAGGCCACGCCTTCTAATAATGCTACTCCCTAGGCCAAGCATATACAAACACAAAGAAAAACAAAAACAAAACCCTCCACTGATGTTTCTACTAAATTGAGCTTTGTACAAAGCAAATAAAAACAAGGTTTTAGTCCCACCATGGGGCAGGTGGGAAATGTCCCTACTTGCTAGGCATGAGCACTTGCACAGGACTTCGATGACAAGCTCCACAGGAAGATCTTGGAGATGTAGGGATCTTTGTGGACCAGCTTGGACTTCTTGCTGTTTCTGCTCTCGGAGGTGTCAATGCGCATCTTCACATTCTATACCAACTTTACTGCAATGCTTATCAAAGGCCGTACCCTGGGCCACAAGATTCTTGTTTTGTGACAGTTGGTGAACACTTGGTTCCTGGGTTTTGTTGGATTTATCGTTGCTCTTTTATTGTCTTTTGTCTTTTTTTTTCTTTTTTGGTATTTTGAGACAGGGTTTCTCTGTGTAGCCCTGGCTGTCCTGAAACTCACTTTGTAGACCAGGCTGGACTCAAACTCAGAAATCTGCCTGCCTCTACCTCCCAAGTGATGGGATTAAAGGCATGCGCCACGACTGCTCAGCTATTCTTTTGTCTTTTTAGACAGAGTGTCTTTGTGTAGCTTTGGCTGTCCTGGTGCTTGCTTTATAAACCAGGTTAGCCTCGAACTCAGGGATCTTCCTGCCTCTAGCTCCTGAGTGCTGGGGTTAAAAGTGTGTTACACCAGGCCTGGCTTAGTCCCTATTCTAATCCCACAGCCTGACCATAGAGAACAGAACTTTGTTAATTTCCTCTTCCTTGGCTTCTGCAGGGTCTTGGTCCTCATGGGTTTGTTGAGGAGAGTCTCCTCCAGCTCCCTGCCTCTAGGGAAAGCAGACCTGCCCCCAGGGTCCTGCTGCAAAGGTAGTGCTAGCTAATTATTCACTCTGGTCTGCGACCATTGCTTTGCTTCCCTCAAGGATTTTCAATTTTTTTAAACTTTATTTTTTTTATTTATTTAATGTATGAGTGCTCTGCTGCATATACATCCACCTGCCTGGAGAGGGCATCAGATCCCCCTATAGATGGTTGTGAGCCACCATGTGGTTGCTGGGAATTGAACTCAGGGCCTCTGGAAGAGCAGCCAGTGCTCTTAACTGCTGAGCCATCTCACAAGCCGGTGATTTTCGATTTTTAATGTGTGGGGGTACTTTTGCCTGCATGCCCAGTTCCTGTAGAGGCCAGAAGAGGGTGTCAGATCTCCAGGAAGTGGGATTACAGGTTATAAACTGCCCTCTGGGTGCAGGGAATCCAACCTAAGTCCTCTGGTAGAGCAGCCAATGTTTTTAATGGCTGAACCATCTCTTAAGCTGTTCCCCTTCCTCTCACCCTCACCCTCACTGCTTTGTTTAAAAGACAAGTTCTTAAATATTCCAGACTGGCCTAAAGTTCCATACGTAGCCAAAAAATGGCCTTGAACTTCTTATTTTCTATCTTCACCTGCAAGGTGTAAGCGTTGTTGTAAGCGTTGACATTGTGCTTGTTCACAAATTGCTTCCTTCCTTTCTTTCCTTCTTTCTTTTATAGCTTTGTTTCTTTCATCTCCAAATTACAACTGCCAATACACCCAGTTGCTAAACTCTTCCTGCCTCTCTTAACTCCTCTTTGGAATCTTTCAGCTGAAGGCCAACCCCTATAGAAAATGTCACCCTTCTCTCTCTTATTAAGACACCTAGCAAGCTAGGTATGGCAGCATATGCCATTAGTCCCAGTACTTAAGAGGCAGAGGTGGGAGGATCTTTGTGAGTTCAAGTCCAGCCTGATCTTCAGAGTGAGTTCCAGGACAGCCAGGGCTACACAGAGAAAGCCTGTCTTGAAAATTCAAAAGACACCTAACAAAAAATGCTTTCTTTTGCCTCTGAGTTTACTTTGTCCAGCCCAGGGCATCAATAACTAGGGGAATTGACTTGGGAGCTGAATGAGCCACAAAACTCAAACTTTGGTTCCTAGTGGTCTGAAATGAATCCCTTAATGTCTAATCTTTAGATTTCTCATCTGTAAATATCAAAGATGTAAAAATAGTTCCTATTTTAGGAAGCATTTTATTGTGAACGTTGAATAAGATAGCCCCTGCTCTATGTGCACACAATGCTTAGCAATGATATACTCAAACCTCACCTGTCAAAGCATCATCATTAGTGTGAAAGGATCTTGACTCTCCTTCCAAACGTGGGTCAGCACTGATAGCATCACAGTCCCATCATGTGTATTTCACATCTCCCTCAGTATGCTGGACTGACTTTCTTCACTTGTGTACTTCTTACATTAAACCTTGTTTGTTTGTTTGTTTGTTTCTTTTAATTTCTTTTCTTGCAAACAGGGACTCATTTAGTCTCAAATCTAACTGATACCAAGTGTGACTTTAACTCTTAATCTACCTGTTTCTATAGCCCAGGGGGTTGGATTAGGGGCATGTGTCAGGTGCCTAGCCCTTATAGAAATCTTAATATCTTGTGAGATTTGGCCAAAATAGCCCCAAACTACAAACAGCTCTGGATAGCACTGATGTTTGCAGCTGTGTGACTCACCAGTCGTACAGATCCCTGTGACTAGGATTCATACTTCAAATTGCTGGCATTCTGAAAGCAGAGCTTTAGTGGCTGGAACATGCACTGCATGTGACTTGTCACTTTAGAACAAAAAGCATGTCTTCAGGGAAGATGTTCCAATTTTTAAAAAAGACACAGATGTAGATTTCATTTTATTATGATTGATAAATGAATGTAAATCTCCTTCAATTGGAGTAAGACATTTATTTTTCAAGTTAACTACTGAATTCATTTTCAGAAAACAAGCTTGAATTGCTCAAGTTAATTTCTTTGCAGAAGGAATTCTCAAAGCCAATTCCATTTCCAAACTGAAATTACTGTCATTTGAATTCAATAAAGAAAGATGTCTTTGTAAACTTTGGGGGAAGAAATGCCTAGTTTTAGAATAGCCAACCTTATCCTAACTCATGTGCAGGATAGCTAGCTCTCTGATGACTTTGAACCTACTCAGTTCCCCCTCATGACTTACCTATACTTCTTCAGAATAATTGTAAAATCTGCTGGCAAGCATGGCCTGCCCAGTATAGCCTGGACCTTGTTCCTGCCCTTCCTCTGAATGCCCCGTTTCAGATTAGGGAGGAACTGCTGTGGAAAGACCAAAGTTTATTCCACTCCATTTAAAAACTACAATGCCCTTGAGTTTTGCTCAGTAAGTCCCACAGCCCTTGAGCTATACAACTTGGAGACGGAAACCTTTGGTGGGGGTGAGCTTCAACTGTTCTAGAAGT